CTTGGTGATGACCCCTTCTTTCCATTGGGTGTAAGCCACCTTTTTACCAAGGAGACATTCCCAGATGCTTTTGGTGAGCCATGGGAGCTTATGCGCCCTCCTGCTCCCTTTGATCCTCGTTGGGATTACCTTCCTTTGGGCTTGGAGGATCGTCTCCTTGAGGAGCAACCACTCTCCTTGGACACCTGTCTCCCCTCCCCTCTGGGACCTCAGCGCTTTCCCAACTATCCTCCTTAGCTCGTTGAAATTTGCCCTCCTAAAATCCAGGGCCTGTCAATTGTGGACTGTCAATAACAAATATAAGGAAATGATTCTAAGTTGAGTTAATATATTGTAATGTTTTGTAAATTAATTTATTGTAATTATAAATTACTTGAATAAATATTCTTCATGCATTTGGCAGTTTGCAGAGAAATTCCAGGAAGTAAAAGAAGCTGCCAAACTAGCAAGAGACAGATCTCAAGAGAAAATTGAAACATCAAGCAATCATTCCCAAGTAAGTTGTTTGTCTTGAAAATATGTACCTGCGCACACGTATACACACACGCATGATTTAACGCTAGTTTTTCCAATGAGTGATATATGCTTTGTGCAGCTTAAAGTCCTAAAGATCATTGTTAACTGTTGGCCATTAATATTGTTAAAGGAATATTCTTCCTCCCCTATGTTCTTTCTCTATTTTATAACTATAGTTGCCTTTTCAGAAAGTTTGAGTTGTAATAACTTAAAATAAAAATACCAAGGGTATCCATAGATTCTTTCATACAGTTATGCATGGGACTGGTCAGTAGAGAGTTTGTCTTACTGTTGTGCTCAGCAATTTTATAAGAATTGAGATCTTTGGTTATGCTTGCTTTTGCTATTTGCCTAACCTAGTTTGGTGCAAGGTAAGTTTGTACAGTTAAAGTACAAGCTTCCTTAAAGGGCTTTCTTGTGTCTCACTGACCAAATTTGGTAATACAGAAATGCTATGGTATATAAGCAGAAGATAAGCCTTTAACATCCTTTACTGTTTGTGACTGGTAGGAAGAGCTCTTACAATGCATGTTTGAAGAATATAGTCTCCAGGACTGCTTTGCCTAGCAAGGTGTCACTATCTTGTGTTAACCATTTAAAAAAAAAAGATATGAGGAAATAAGGTTTTATCACAATCACTTACTGTAATTTACTGTATTTATGTAAAGACTAAAGCTAAGAATCATCAGCTAAGAATCATTCTTGTTTACTGGCAACTCATTTGTGTTTTGCATAAAAGTGTTAGCATTTGGAGGAGTGTTTGACTACATTTCATTTGACGACTAATTTAAAGATCAAGAGAACATTTAGCTGTTTTGATGGGAGCTGTGGTGTGCTAAGCACTTTGGAAAAAATGCATCAGTCCTCTTACTGGATCCATAAGCATAGACCTCAGAGCCTGACTTTAAGCAGCCATTTATTAAAGATTGTGATAACTGACTTTAGAGCTTCTACTTTATAACAAGGGACCCCGATGAACAATACATAAAGCTGATTTCTTTGAAGCAGGACAATCTTTCTTTTCTGCTTCCAATAATGGATTTTAAAACCTTCTTGAAAATTTTTAAACATCAAATTAGTAAATCATGTTTCTCATCTTAGCTTTTATTACTGTTGTATATGTTTCATGTTCTACTTTTGTTATTATCATTTATAATGAATGCATGATCTAAGTTGCTGTAAAAGGGTAGTGTACCTAGAAGTTGTCAAAAGACTGGTACGTGAGCCAGGTTTATAAAGACACTAATCTCTAGCTACTGGTCTCGCTCTCTACCAGCTTGTGCAGTCATCTAAGTAGGCTGTGTTATGTAGCTACGTCTCGTGTTTCTGAGGGAGTTGAAAATGTGTTTGCTAAGTGCAAAACACACTTTGTACCGTCCACACTTTGTTCTTAGGTTTCCTCCCTTTTCTGACTGTATTCCCTTGAAAATTAATATGAAGATAGGGATAGCACCATGTTTTGATTGGAAAGCAGAGAAACTTTTTGACTCCTTTGTACACAATATGCTTCACGTGCTTAGTGAGGAAGTGCTCAGCTTTCTGTGTAGCTGCCCCCTGCCCTCCCAAAAAAGCCAGTAAGTTGACTTTAGTTTGTGGATGGTGCCACAGGAATCTGGACGTGAAACACCATGTTCTACCCGCGCCTCGAGTGTGAATGGAACGGATGATGAGAAGGCATCACATGGTGGCCCTGCTGATGCACAACTGAAAACTGAGAATGATAAATTGAAAATTGCTCTAGCCCAAAGGTAAAGCTTTTAAAATATTAGTAAAAGAATATGCAGGAACTATTTGGTAGTGATTGCCTTTTGGATCATTATGTTAAGGGATAATTCAGTAGCAAAAAGGCAGCTGTCAGCTCTAGTTATATTTGTGCAAAAGCAAATACCAAAGTATATAAAATAGCAGTCCATGTGAAAAATGGAAATTGGGTAAGTGGATCTGTGAAAGTGCCTGCAGATGGCCAACCTGTTCTCAAAAACCAAAATAAAAGTAATAGATGTGTTTTTGATTTTTAGCACAGTACACCAGGTGACATGTTACAGTACTAAGGGGCACAGGCATGAGTGAAATGCATGTGTATTTTGAACTCACTTGTTAGCCTGAAGCAGCTTTGTTTTACATGTCTATTTTAAATGTTTAACAGGTGGAAGGTTTTAGTTCATTCCTAAAACCCATCTAAAGGGCTAAAATGATAAAAGTGTGTGTGTGAGTATAATATATAATATTTCTTAAATAAATCACCAAAAGGTCCATTTACACCATTTAAACCAAAACCATTGAAGGCATAGGTTACAGCAGAGATTCTCAACCAACATGTCAGGGAACCCTGGGAAGCCATGAGATCCTTTGAAGGGTGCGGAAAGTATAAGAAGATAAGCAGGTTGTGAGGAGATAAGCAGATAAGAGCAGGCTCAGTCTCTCTCTATGTAGCTGCTCTCCCACCCCTACTGCCTGATCCCTCTGCAAGGAGGTAAGCCCTGAAATAAAGGAATTATTTTTTTAATGGGGTGCCTCTCAATTCACAACAGTTATGTGGGGGTGCCTTGACTCTCAAAAGGTTGAGAACCACTGGTTTACAGTGTCTGAGATGATGACTCAAAAACTGTTTTGACCAAATGTGAAATTCTTTTAATATCAAAATCATACTGAAGGAATGTGCAAAAACGATTTGGTAATTAAGGGTGTTAGCAGCATTTATTCAAATGTGGTTGCATTAATCTAAATCCATGCAGTAAAACAAATGAATTGTGGGGGTTTTAGTAGGTACCTCCTGGTATCAAATTGGAAGACTTACCCCTTCATTTTTCTGATCTCATCCATGCTGAGATGATCTCTCTCACCCTACTGATACTAGCTTGAATAGCCTACCATGTACATGTGGGTTCAGGAATACAGAAATAACATCTGGGCCATTGGGGAGCAGTTGATGCTTATAGTATGTGAAACCAATCTTCAATTCCTCTCTGATTTTGCTCGCTGTACCTTTTCTAGTAGAATAAATGAGGGTATTTAAAATTACAAAAGGGAATTAACGCACCATAAAAAGTTAAAGGAAAAATTTTACTTTACTGAGCTTTCTGAAAGTCTTAAGGATACATTTTAAGGCAGTGCATAATGTCCCTTGGAGTTACATTTTGTATGATTTGATGGCCATAACTGTAATTTGTAGCCATAGTAAAAATATAGAAGTTGGAATGTTCTGAGCAGTGACATTAAAAGGCTATAATTCTTTTCCTAGAACTTATTTGCCATGTCTGCCTCTTGCATATGACTGTGTCCGTGAATTAAAAGGAAATATATATCAGGTTCAACTACTTTAAAAAGCTATTAAAAAGAGAAAAAAGGAAGCAACATAAATAGTATTACCCAGGTAGAGATCCAAAGGTTGAACATCTTGTATAAGGCTACGTCATCACACTTTTTAATTTTTTAATTATAATTTCAAATTGCTACTCATGCTTAGTAGCTCTAGAGTCTTCCAGAGGTTGGTAACAGCTAGGCACCAGGATACCAGGAGCTTTCCACTTCCTTCATTTACCATCCCTCTATATTTCCTGTAGCTTGGAAGGTAATGGGAATGCAATATTTTGTTTTTCAGTGGCAAGTTTCAGTGCTTTATAGGTATTAAGATCAAACAGAAAAACAGCATATTTTACTTCCAAGAGGCCTAAAGTATTTCTTTTTTCTTGGTTTAGTAATACAATATCTTAAATGGTGTCTTCCATCTGGAAGGATCCCAGCATCCTTTACAAACTGATATACATGCTGTGTACAGGGGACGCTTTATATATGTCTGTGAAATATGGTTATTTTTTAATAAGTCACAGCAACATTGCTTCAGTTTAAGACAGGAGATGTAGTATGTCCTAATAAGCCCCTGGCTGCATCCAGCAGAGTTACCAACCAGCCTTGGCAAATAGTATTTTTGTGTCTAAAAGCACAGGCCTCTACCTCTTGAATTGCTGTAACCTTTACTCCGGGGTAGTTGCATTATGGCTTGTGCTCTCCAAAGGATGGTTAGCAGACAGAAGAGAAGTAATCAAAGGTCCAGTGTTCTTTGTAACAAGGGGTCAGTGATAAACATACATGAGAGCCATTCCATTAGGATGCTGTATCCAGTTTAGTTTGCCATCAACCTTTACAATTGGGTGCATTAGAAGAAGTGGGAGTAAAACATGAGTGAATCTAATATTATTCTGCTGTTCTCAGCTCCTCCAATGTAAAGAAATGGGAAACAGAATTGCAGACTCTGAGAGAGAGCAATGCCAGACTAACCTCTGCACTGCAAGAATCTGCTGCCAGCGTAGAGCATTGGAAAAAACAGTTTACAGCATGCAAGGAAGAAAATGATCAACTCAGGAACAAGGTAATATGAGTCCCAATACATAGTTAGGAGTAAAGAACTCTTCGAAATGCCAGATTCCCTTTCCCTTGGGTACCTGAGTCCTACATCCTCTTCCTCACCTTAAGCCATTCTTCTCACAAAGCATCTGTGCTACATGAGAAGCATTGTGTTAACTGGACCCAACTCGCCCAATGGTTGTATAGATCGGGTACTTTAGTGCGGCTTTTCTGGCACTTTTATCTAATAGCTGCTTGAATCAGCTTTAGCTAAAAGCACTAGAATGCCCCGCTGAAGTGCCTGATTTATATAGACGCTGCAGAGCTGGGTCGAAATAACACACTGCTTCTTCCGGTAAAGCAAAGGGTTTTTTTGGTTTGTTTTTTTTAATGTCTGCCAGCAGCCATGATACTTTCCAATGCAACCAGCAGCAGTAGGCTTTCCAAATCCTAAATCTAAAGCTGCCAAGAAATCTGCAGACTACTGGGTAACCAGCACAAAGGTCAGATTTCCACCAATATTAGAATTCAGACCCAAAGACCAAAATTTTTTTCAAGTATGGATTTATGGACATACTTTAAATCTAACTTAAAACTATTTTAATGAGTCTCTTTTAAAACTTTTATCCTATATTCCTTCTTTTCCCAGGATAGAAAAAGAAGACACAGAGCAATGTCATCTTTTTGTGTTTGTTTGTTCTCTCCATCTTCTGGCTTGTCTGCTGCCTCATCTTACTCCTTATATAAGAAATCAAAGAGAGAGGAAAAATGGAGTAGAGGGAATAGAGGAGACTAGATAGCTGCTTTTCCCTGCCTCTAGCATCAGAAGGCTCAGAACTCAGAGCAAGTGGGAGGACTGGGGCTTACATATTGCCTAGGACAGTGATGCCCAACCTTTTCATCCCTCAAGCTGGATGAATGGTGCCAGGTCCCTCTGCAGGCTGGCTCCAGCTGATGGGCTCAATTCAGCTGCAAGGGGTTGGGCAGCTTGACCCTGATCCACATGCATTGGGGGCGTGAAGGGCAGGGCACTGTAGCCCCAATCCAGACATGCATGGTTGGTGGGGGTGGGAAATGGGGAGAGAGAGGCCCTGATCCAGACTCATGTAGGGGGTGGGGAACAGCCTGGCCCCGATCCAGATGGGGGGAGTGGGGACTGGCAAGAGTAGGGAGGCAGCCTGACCTGATCTGGATATGGGGTGGGGGTGGGGCCTGGCCCTGA